AGGGGGCGGGCGGCGGCCGCAAGCTGCCGACGTGCGCCGAGCACGACCTGGAGAACTACAGCATGTACTGCGTGAGCTGCCGCAGCCCCGTCTGCTACCAGTGCCTGGAGGAGGGCAAGCACGGCAAGCACGACGTGAAGGCCCTGGGCGCCATGTGGAAGCAGCACAAGGTGAGTCCTGTCAGCCGGCCAGGAGGAGCTGAGGCAGTGCTCGGCTCTGGGATTTGTTCATCCCAGTGCCCTGACATCGGGTTGAGTTTGTGGGACATCAGGACACTTCACATCCACCATCCTCCCAGGCTTTTTTCCCCTTGGCATGGTGCTTTTAGGTCTGCGGTCCTTCCTGATTGCCCCAGCGACTCCACAGCCTCTGCTCAGGGTTAGAACATCCACCAACTCCCTCCCGTATTGGCCTCCCCTTCTCTCAGCCAGCAAATCTCAGGCTAAACCAGGCCCCCCGAGACACCCGAGATTAGCAAGTCTGTCTCGCTAACTTGTTTGCTTTTCACAGGGTCTTTGGCCATCCCGTCCTCTTGCAGGTGGTGGCAGCCACCTGTGAGGAGCAGGAGTAGGCAGGATGGTCATTCCTTCCTTTCATCACCTCCCTTTCACCTGGGGCTCAGGGGCTTTTTCCATTTCCTGCCACACCTTCCTCCCTGCCATGGTACCAATGAGAGAGAGTGGCCCGGAGCCACCCAAATGTTTTAGACAAGAAAGTGTGATAGGGAGGGTCATGGGACATTGTGTTGTCTCTCCTGGGCCTCCAAGAGGCATCCCCTCCCACTCAGTTCCCAAAGAGGCCAGAAGGAATGGCTGTAGGGACCTTTATGACACAAAAATGAGTAAGGAAGTGTAGGATGGATGGGGTCTGGGGACAAGTAGAGCTTTTTCTGATTCACGTAATGTCACAGTCTGATTCATGCTTCCTTGCAAGCGATGCTCCTTACCCCTCCCTGGAGCCCCCATGGGAAGACTTTGGAGCCAGAGAGCCAGCTGCTTTGCAGTGCAGTTTGCTGGTTTCTAGTAGAGCTGCTGTGTCACTTGGCCATGCTCTCCTTGTTAAAAATAAGACTTTACAACCATCTGAATAAAGAGCAAGACATGACCTTCAAAGTTGCAAAAGTGTATGAAGTTAGCTCATTCTTGCTAAGAACAGTGGACTCTGGGAAAAATATTAGTTAAAACATATGAATGTCCAGAGGGACTTCAATACCTGAGTGCTGAGAGCAGTCCCGTGGAGCTTCCCGCTGTAGTGGGGGAAAGGACTTCCCCCCAAAGCTGTGCAAAGAGCACTCGGCTAGCTCTGCTGGCTGCAGGATTCCCTTCTTCTCACTCGCTGCTACAGTTAGCAGTAAAGGAAGCACAGAGAGATCCTTTCAGACGCTGAAGGAGAGGGCTCATCATCCCTCAGCCGTGGAGTGGCTAAGCATAAGCCAGGATAAGACATTTGGCAAGGAAAAAAAAAATTGGCTTTCGATTTTAAGATTAAAAAGAGATGCCACTTGGGGGGATCTGCATAGTTTCTCCATCTGAGAAAGACACACTTCTTCAATACGTGTTTTAGTTTGGATGCTCTCTGTCAAGGGCTTAGCCTAATGTGACTGATGTTTGTGCAGAGGAGCGTTCCAGGATCCACTTCTGAGCAGAATTATTTTAAGGAGCAGGGTCTGAGTTCACTGTGCAAGTGTGGCTGCTGTTTTGGAGTGTGAGAGACCAGCTTGTGCTGTATTATGGTCTACCTTGAGTTAAAACTGTTTGATGCCTTTTGAACCATGTGATAAACTCTGGTGTAATCAAAGTGCACAGTCAGTAAATTTTCTTTCCTACTGTCCAATATTGTCAAAAGAAAGAACAGTGCCCTGTTGGCTTGTATTTTTACTGCATTTTTTTCTGGGAGTGAGGTATCACAAAATGTGATTTTTTCTCTTGATTTACAGACTCAATCAATGTGAAACTTCTAGTGAAAGAAAAAAAATACTCAAAATTAACTAATTTGTGGACTCTAAAATTGTGCTCTTGTGAATAATATTTTTCCCAGAACCATGCGCTTGGCAGAAAATAAATATAATGGAACCATATAGCCAGACAGCCTAAATCATCAGCTCACATTCATTTAGATAAATTGTTTTGGAATTAGATACTTCTGCTTAGAAATAGTTCTCAGATACGGCAATTTCTACACGTTTATTACCTGTACTTACTTTGGCCAAACCATAAATTACTTACATTGAATGGTATGCCAAATCTAATTCAAGTTCTATGTGTTCTCTCCAGATGCTCCAGGCGTAGCTGGAAGAGGCAGGTTGAAGGGCTTGTCGATAAGCTTTCTTAGCCCAGTAAATTTGACAAACTGACAGTTGTTCATCATCAGCTGATAAGCACCTGCTTATCTCCTTCTAAGACCACTGGCTAGTATTTTTCACCTAAGAAGGGCTGCCACAGCCATTTCCCCACCTCGCACAGTTTCATCCCACACCACCAAATTTGAATCAGTTTTTCTACTGACTTCTAGAACTGCTTTTCCAGAAGTGCAGTCTGCCTTCAGCTTCAGATTCCGCTCCCATTCCACTTCTGTATCATGTAGTTTTGTTCAACCTGTTTGACTGCTCCTTTGTCTGGGCCTTATATAGTGATTTTGTGGTAAATAGAGTGTGTAACCTTGTCTGTACAGTGCTGTAGACCGTGTGATGAAACGTGCATTTACCCTCAGCTGTGCTGCTGGCACGAAAGCTGTACAAGGCTGATTGGCCCCTGTTCACAATGCGGGTTTCCCCTTTACACTGCTGTACGTAACTTCTTCAGAGAAATTAAAAATTGTGTGCAATAAAAACAGGGGCCCAATGACATAAATCAGTGTAAATCCACTGACTTAACTGGACTTTATTATAATCACTCATATGAACTCTGCAGCAAGACCAACAGTTCATGAAGTAAAACTGTGTAAGTCTACTGCCAAAGTGAAGTCCTTTTAGGTCTTTGTAACAAGAACAGTGACACTGTTGTCAGATTTAAGTTGCTAGGCTTTTTGACCTACTAACATGAGGAAGGATGGTGGACACATTTCAGCTCTGCCATTCTGAATGGTTTTATATATATATATATATGCACCAAAACGCTGGAAAAAACCCCACAGCTGGATAGGCCTGTGACGGGCAAGCAGGCAGGCGGTCAAAGGCAAGTATCAGAGCCTGAACGCCTGCTTTTATTTGCCAGTCTAAAGATTTGTGTTCCCAAAAACACGAGGGCTGTTTCAGAATTCAGCACCAGGGTAAGCTTATCTAATCAATAGTTAATCTGCTGCTAAAGAGAGATGGAGGGAAAACAAATTAAATGAGCATGAACTGTTTGGTTGAAAAAGGATGTTGGCATTATCTGGTTCATTTTCCAAAATCAAAGGAAGCATCGCTCTTCCATGCCCATCTGGGTTTAATTACTCACCCTCATTATCTGTCTGTTCATGTATTTGATAGACGTAGAAACTTGGTATCCATCTCCAGCATCCACATTTTTGGTTGCAAGATTAGGTATTCAAGTGCCATGGTTTAACCCCAACTGGCAACTAAGGCCCACGCAGCCGCTTGCTCATTGCCCCCCATGGTTGGACGGGGGAGGCAACTGGAAGGGTAAAAGTGAGAAAACTTGTGGGTTGAGATAAAGACAGTTTAACAGGTAAAGTAAAAGCCACGCACGCGAGCAAAGCAAAATGTGGAATTCATTCTCCACTTCCCATGGGCAGGCAGGGGTTCAGCCATCCCCAGGAAAGCAGGGCTCCATCACGCGTTAACGGTTAGTTGGGAAGACAAACGCCATCACTCCGAATGTCGCCTCCCTTGCTTCCTCTTCCCCCAGCTTTATGTGCTGAGCATGACATCATATGGTATGGGATATCCCTTTGGTCAGTTGGGGTCAGCTCTCCCAGCTGTGTCCCCTCCCAACTCCTTGTGCACCCCCAGCCTGCTCGCTGGTGGGGTGGGGTGAGAGGCAGAAAAGGCCTTGGCTCTGTGTAAGCACTGCTCAGCGGTAATGAAACCATCCCTGTGTTCTCAACACGGATTTCAGCACAAATCCAAACCACAGCCCCATACCAGCTACGATGAAGAAAATTAACTCTATCCCAGCCAAAACCAGAACGTAACGATAATGCCGGGTAGAATACCGTTTGTCAGGAGTTATTAATTGTCGCAGTCAATGGAGCTTGTAACATTTCAGTTTGGCTTCCAGTAAATATTTCTGCAGCACGAAAGATTGCTCTGAGTGTACAGGGCATTTTTTATGGCTTGACTGGTTTACTGAGGGCTTAGTCATGTAGCTCCATTTGATTTTAATGGGAAGTGCATGACTAAATTCCGCTGCTTTGTAAGATAGCTTTTACAAATGCTTGGAAAAACAAGGCTATTATCTCTAAGCGGGTTTCACAAATGGAGATCTGGTCTCCTCAGCTTCACGCTGCAGTTGCATTAATGCAACCACAGGTTTTAATGAACGTGGCAATTTGCTTATGAGCCCTTTGAACAATGACATTGTTGAGTTTCTATTGCAGCTCTTTGCAATGGGAGCGAGCCGGGAGTCGGGCATGATTGTGCTAATTGCCATCGTACATATGCTGGTTACATTTTGTCTGCAGTGATTCAGTTTTCAATGGCTGCTGTGATGCCCACATAGAGCTTTCGGCTCTTCCTATCTGGTGAAACGCACTTTGAGATGATTTGGAAGCTAGGGCAGATGTTGGAAAAGTGGAAGTTTTACTTTTGTCAGGACCAAACATTGGTTTTGATTTGAAAGAAAGGAGCCCTTGCCTCCCTGGGACAATTTGCTTGGGCCAGTCAATGGCAGAGCTTACCATGCTTACACCACCTGTTTCGCCCTTCCTCGCCAGCCACTTGGTCGTATGCCACTTCCACCTTGTCCCGTGCCAGCTTGGCAAACCAAAGGCTCAAATGCGCCTTGTGGATGGAGCGCAAAGTGCAATCTAAAAAGGGTGGGCTTTAAACTCTGGCAACCATGATCAGCCCGTGAAATCCTGATGGTCTGATCTGGGAGAAAATAGGGATCCTTCAAGGACTTAGAGTTTGGTTCTGTGACCTCAAGTACCGTTCATTTCAAACATCATCGCTTAAAATTTTTGTGCAGTGACAGGAGTTTGTGTAAGAGAATATTAAATATTCAAATACTGCAAAACATACACAGTAACGTGTCTTCCCGTTACATTTTTTACAAATGACTTGTAGTAAAGCATGTTTTATTTTCAAATTTAGCGCTAATGTAATACCTGCAGCTGGGCTAAAAGGGAAGAGTTTGTGTGAAGATGAGGAAAACACAGTGGGATTGCTCTGTAATTCGGTCCCAGCTTCCAGTCCGGGTTTGTACCCGCTTGCCGCAGAGCCGCGCGGGGTCAGGCAGGTGCCTCTGCCTGCGTAAGGCTGCCTGCCTCCGAGCTGGGCTGTGAGGTGCCCACGGGGAGCTGCCAGGGTTTGCTCTTCCCTCTCCTGTGCGAATGAGCGAGTGCGAGGGCAGGATGAGTAGGAAGCATTCAGGCGGGAGGTAAGCTCCAAACTTTGGCAGCCTGAGGAAGTGAGCTGTGCCCTTTTCAGGGATGGAGTAATTTACTTCCCTCCAGGAGCAAGAGGGAAGCAGAGAATGAGTGGTGACTTACTGAATTTCAATTAGGACTGCTCTTGGAGGCTGATAACCTTTGTGCCTTCCTACATACAAGGCTCTGTCTCAAGGCATGCTCTAGTCCTAAGGAAACAAGAGACAGCAACCTTCTGAAAGCCTGATGTTAGCAAAGATACTTCATCTTCCATTTCCTGATGTCAGTTGTCGTATCCATTTGGCAAGGATAATTAACTAGGCATCAGTAATCTGGTAGTTGCCAAGTCCATTTGAGGGGTAGACCCACGAAGAGAGTGTCCAACCTGCAGGACACTCATGCTGGGACCAATCTGGTCTCTGTGCATTATGTTTGCATGAAGAAGTAACTCTGAATCCGGGCTTGCCATGGGCCAACAAGCAGAGCAACACGGTTTCTGTGATCCCGGTGGGCTTCTGGGGAACCTGCAGCGGGGCTGCTCTGGTCAGACCATGGTGGTTCTGGGTCTCTCAGGGGCAGAACCGCCATTTCCTTCCCATCCTGGAACTCCATCGAAAAGCCTGTGGTTCAATTTAGAGATCTCAGGTGCCAGATGAGGGAAGTGGAAGTTAAGTCTTCAGTGTATACTTACAAAAGACATATTCCTTATGTCTCACCAGTCAAAAGTTAAAGGAAGGGGTTTTTCCAGCTTTCCCAGAAATACTCACCCTTTTGTTGGATTGTAGCATGGGAAACTGGAGCCCCAAAGGGACGTTACTATGAAGTCTGAAAATGCAGATTTATCCTAGTGTATCTATCTCAGGTTTGGTAGGATCTACCACATTTAAAAAGAATTCAGGCTTTGATGAAAAAAAAAGTGCCACTTTGGAAAGCAGTTGGGGATTTTTCAGCATGACAGATGCTACTGTGTAAGTGTAAGACTATTATTTCCCTATATATGTGGGTAGCTGTCTTATAAAAAGGTATTTTGACTTACCAAGTCACTGCAATAAAGTGGAATGTGCAGACACAATACATGACTGCCCCCACATGCATATTTCACCTTTATTAAATCTTATTACAATTAAAATCTTAACTATTCTTTTCTAGTACAAACACTCTGTGCATGTAAGAATACATGCAACAGCAAGTAAGCCTTTTAGCACATTATTAATCATCAAAACCAAGGATTAGTAAGAAACACATTTGCATTTTATCTCTAATTTTTCCTTTCCCCCCCCTTTTTTTTTCTTGCAGGCACAGCTGTCTCAGGCTTTAAATGGTGTTTCAGATAAAGCAAAGGAAGCTAAAGAATTTCTGGTTCAGCTGAAAAATTTATTGCAGCAGATCCAGGTAACTGTAGAATATTAGCTGTTTTGATAATACAGTAATCAATAGAACTGAGTGAATAATTTATTTGATGACTTTGTCTCCTATGCTATTCTCATCTTTCCTGGAATCATCTAACCTTTCTTGAATGGATTTGCTAGGCACAATTATTCATCAAATAATGCCTGCAAGCCCCTCTTAGCTTCTAGACTGTTTGCTGTTTATTGCAAGAAGCTGATACTCAATGCTGGACATCTGAGCTGTGTTGATTAGTATTTGATTGAATCCATCGGTCATGCTTCTGGTCTCCTTCCTGTCTGCAATTGCTTGAATTGGGCATTTTAACACATTCAGAATTTAGTACTTGTTTTTCATCTTACATTTTCTAAAAATGTACTCATTTCTGGACAGAATCCAGTCAACCTGTTTGTTAGAGTATTTGCAGGAAGTAAAAAAAAAAAAAAAAGAAGAAATGAACTCTACAAAATCAATGCGGTCGTTTATTGAAGCAGAAGATACTTTCATGCCTATAATTGCCCAGCTTTAATAGTCAGAAAAGGGCTCATGGTGAGTGCAGTAATTGAGGGCACAAACCTCAAACGTAACAAGTCCTGTTTTCAACCAAATTTAGACTCGTCAGTGCTGGAGGTCAGATTATTCTTAAGGTCCTTCTCATCCTATAGAGTGTGGCTGGAAATGTGCTTCACAGCACCCAGGAGGGGACACTTGTTATCCGCAGCAGCACTGCTCTGTGGCAGTGGGGTTTCTATGGGATATACATCATCTGCTCTGCTGCTTGCTCATCTTTCATCAACAAGCAAGTCCTGTTCCTGTTACTAACAGAAAGCCACAGCAGAAGTTCAAAAATCTGTATTTGGTTTAGAATTTAATCCCTAAAATTCCACTTAACTCTCCAGATGATGAATCTGTACCCCAAATGCTGCCCAAGCTCTCAGGTTGCCACAGGGCAGTGTAGCTACCCACCCTCAGAGTCTTCTGCGGCTGTGTGGAGAAGGGAACAAACCAAGACTGGAAAACTGGTGAAAAAAAGCACACCCAACTGAAAGAAACCAGTGTGAAGCCACTGACTGGCACCTGTCACATGCCATGTTTTAGACACAGTGGGAGGTTTCTCTCAGCTGACTTTACCTATTTAAAAGTTATGTAGCTCATCTAACCTAGTCATTTAGGCTTCTTTCATTGTCGAAGGAGAAGGACAGGCACCTCTAAAGAGCAGTTCTTCCTGTAGGTATGAACAGTTATTTTAGGATGGAATAACTCATCCGAACCAGTAGTCTATCACCAATCTTTTCTTGAGTCACCTAGATCTATTAAAAATGTATTTTTCCCTCCTGAAACCTAAAGGTAGCCTATTACAACTATTTATGACTAAGCTGTAAAATGCTTTAGCATGTTTCAATAAAATCACTGCCAAATCACTCTGCATAAGGGAGCTGCTACAATTAGATCAAAAGACCAAGCCATTTCTTTGAAGCTGCTCATTGCTTAAAATGCTAGAGGAGAACTCAGAATAGGAAATCGTTTCCAGCAATCACCCTCTAACATTTAGGCACATCTGGGTGCAAAGCTGAATCTGACCCTTACATGTTAAGCCAGTCTCCAGCATGAGTCTGAGTGAGGACATCAAATTTCAGCAAACCAAAACAGCAGGACTAATCAGCTGCATATGTATTCCTAAGTAAAACAAGGCTGGGGCACAGCTCCGAGAGGATCACCCACATACTTTAACCCTTAGTGAGCTGCCTGGCATGGTTTTCTCCCACGACAAATTGCACTCTTCCAAGGTGATGCTTGAGCAGCATTTGATGATAGCACATACCAGGGAATACTCCTGGTAGGCAGGTTTGGTACGGCCACGCTATTTGAGGGGAAAGGGTTTAGATGTGTCTTGAGCTGATCTGTGTCTTTTGGCATCTGGACCAAAAAACCAGTTTTTGGACTGTTATTTGGGGGGGAATAGATGGAACCTTTGTGCATAGATTTATACCCAGGACCATGTATCTCAGAGCAGGTTATGTCTAGTAGAAGTCTTATGATGGTTGCCACACACATACAGACATTTACCCCCCAGAAAAAATGTCTTTAAAATGTATGTTGTTTACACAAAGGAGTGAGCAATATGTACATTTTATTATCCTGTTTCAATGCACAGCAGACCAGACAGCCATCTGCACTATTTATCTCCTCTCTGAGTTTGCCAGAGCTACCAGGAGCTGTGCTTTTACCTTGCCTGGGGCAGTTTGCAAATTCATAATCTACTTTTCTTTTCCCTGCTTTGCAGATCTCTTGTTTCCTTCCCTTCTCCTTTCTGAGGTCACTTTTAAATCTCTTGGTCTCTTCTTTTCAGAAACTGCCTGTTCCTCATTGCCCCTGTTGCTTCCTTGCTCCTCCTTGTTGCTGTCATTATCCCATCTGCTGTAACAATTTCATCCTTTCTCACTTGAAAGAGGCATATCGCCAAACACCCCGTCTGATGTGTGAACAGAAAATGAGGAGAGAAATGATGCACTACAGCCATCGACTGATTCAGGCTCTGTACACAAACCAGCACTTCAAGAGTAGCTGGATGGAAATGGGCTTAAGAGGGAGTTGGGTGTGATATAAGCCGAGGAGGGAGAGATGCAAACAGGAAGAGTCTAAGACAAGCCTGTGAGCCGTAACTGGGCCGTCTGGTGTCTCTCCCCCCACCCGTCTTGCTGGCAGGTCTAGGACTGCGGCGGGGGCCTCTCAGGGAAGAGTGATCCTGCATCCCTCGGCTGGAGAACAGGATGCATGGATCACAGTGGGAGAAGGGAATACAGTGCTGAAAATTTTGCTCGCAAAAGAATGAAGACAAAGCAATGAACAGAAGAGAAAAGCATAAGCAGAAGAGCTAAGAGATAGCGATGAGTTAGGGGCGTGTGATGGCTTTCCATAGAGATAATTCTCCTTCAGCGCATGTTTAAAATCTTCTCACATTTAATGCTGCTGCTTTTTTTTCTTATTTGAGTATTTGGGAGGAAAGCTGCTGGGACAACTGAACATCTCCTGAAAAGAGGAGCTTGAACACTTTCTCCTTTTAGTCTCACGAGCAGAGGAAGCGAGGGAGAGCCTCCCTCTGAATGAGTGCTACAGCATCAGTTCCACGGCCAGAGAAAGCCATCCCCAGGAGGAGGGGCAGCTCAGGACCCTGTAGTACCATCTCCTCAGATTTCTATGGCTGCAGTGGGATTCTGTGGTAGCACGGTTTGTTCCCCATTGATAAGACAGGGGTTTACGATACCCACACCCTGCACAAGGCTCAGTGGGGACAGGTGTTTTATACCTCAGATGCTGGCCTCTGCGTAGCAGAGACTTTTACCACAATGTGAATAAAAAAACTATCATTTGTTTAAAGCAAATCAAATGCATGTCTCCACTGCCAAGCACTAGCTATTTTTAAAGAAGTACTTGGTGCAATACATAAAATCTCAGGGCTTTGAGTAATTTCCTTGTAATAAGCCTGTAGACCAGTTTCTGGTCAATAATTCTCTTCTAATTGTCATGGTGTAGAGCCAGTGATTTCAAAGTTGTTAAAGTGAGATAATTAAAAGGGAGAGGGGGGACAGAATTGTCTTATGTACATCTATGCACTATGTTTGTTAAGTTTAGATTTTACATTATGTTGTACTCCATCTGTTGTCCAGAAAATGCCAGTAAATCAGGGTTTCAAATAAGCCCATTTTGTAGCGTAGCACCTTACTGTTTCATTTTATAGCATGCAGCCATTACCAGTACAGCTATAATGAAATCAGAAAGGCAACAGAGATGCCGAAGTCTTGAAAGGAAATCTTTTCTGAATGGAAACCCAGGTAAGAATGAACAATAGCTTAAGATGTACGATATGCTTTCTTTGATGAGTATGACTCTCACCTTCTTCTAGGAGAACGGGTTGGATTATGAAGCCTGTCTTGTCGCTCAGTGCGATGCCTTGGTTGATGCGTTAACGCGACAAAAGGCAAAACTGCTCACAAAGGTGACCAAAGAACGTGAGCACAAGCTGAAGGTGAGCACAACTCTCATCAGCTGAGCATGGCTGTTGATACCTGGTGTTACTGTGCATTTTGCAAGTCCCCAGCCCTTTGCACCGTGAAAATTCTTAGTGACAAATTCCTAAAGTCCTTCAGCACATTCCAGTTCAGCAGTTTGATGGAACTGTGCTTATACGCTTAACATGAGGCATATACTTCAGCAATTGGTTAACTCAGGCCATCAGTCTTTATTTATCTGATGGTTTTGGGCTGTCTTTTGAGAGGTGCTTGTCAGTGAAACCTGTGTGTGGTTTGGATTCTTGAACCTTCCAAATGCAAGAAAGCCATTTTGCCCAAGTAAGATTTTGGGATTTTGGTGTCTCTTGAAACCTTTGAAATTAAGGCAAGACACTTCCAGAGATCCATGTGCTTACTCAAAAGATATCAAAGAAATGTAGTAAACAGGGCGGAGGGAGAAGAAAGCCATAAATGGTTGAGCAAAGTGGCAGTCAAGAAATGTTTAAATAATAGACTATTTCTTGAAATGTTGAACTGCATATGTGATTTTGAGGTATTATAGTGCCCGTAACATTAATAGTATCTAAGACAGAAGGAAAAATCAAAGTGAAAAATCTAACATGGCAAACAACAAATAAAATCTACCTGAGATCAGCATTTAAACCTCCCCATACTTAACAAGAATCAGCACTTAGGGCATACTACTAACAGCACAGCTAATCCTGCAGTTTATTCCTGTTAGGCTGTTGTACCTCAGGAGTTGTGCTATCGAACACAGTGCTATTAGGCCTAGTCTACAGCCGTGTGGCAGCAGAATATGTCCAAATTCTGGAGAAATGAGATGCAGCTTTTTTATTTCTTAATCTTAGCAAAGTGTTCTTAAGCAGACCAGGATCAATGGTGAATTGTGAAGAGAATGGTAGAGTATAATCTGCAAGAAATTACTCCTGCAGTTTTCCTCTATAATATTTGCCTTTTAAGTCAAGGATTTTTTAAAAGCTCAGATTTTAATGGAAGTGTGATTGTAAATGTGAATACTGCAAATGCAGAAACACGTTCTGTGCTTTTTCTGCCCTCAGCAAGCCTGATCTTTGAGCAATTAATCTGCTCTGAAAAATTGAGATTCCCTGCGCACAACATTTTGCCAAGCTAATTATCGGTATTTACAATACAGAGCAAGTGAGTGTAGCTGATGGAGATATGGCAATGGCCATATGGCAGCTAAATTAAGCATAGCTTTAACACACTCTTCCATTCGTCGTCTCTTCTGCAATAATCTTATACAGTTCACTGTAAGCTGAGGCAGTCATCAGAACTGTACTGATGCTTGTTTTCCAGGTTGTTTGGGACCAGATAAATCACTGTACACTGAAGCTACGCCAGTCAACGGGGCTTATGGAGTACTGCCTAGAAGTTATCAAAGAAAATGATCCCTCTGGGTTTTTACAGGTATTTTCCTTTCCAATGTTCTGGTGGAAAAATGAATACAATTTAAAGCTAAATCTAAAAATGGACTGCTTTGCTAATTAGCCTCTTCCACCCCCGAGGCAGGTTCACCTTAACTCCTGTTAGTCCTGTCGAAAAGCTCAGACAGCCTGGTGATTGCACGAGTGTCCCAGCGAAGGGATGCCTTCGAACAGCTGCACTCTGACCGAGGTGCGGAGTAAGCGGTCACACCACTTCCTGACTGCTGACGTTTTCCCTCTTGCCAGCCCTTCCTTCTGGGCCAAAAGAGAGATGCTGTGCAGCTAATACTAACCTCCTGTTTTATTCTCACCTGGGAAATCCAGCACAGGGCCTCACAGAGCTCCCTGGTCTATGACCCAGCAGAGTAGTACTTCTCCGCTTTGCTTCTCCC